GGAGTCATCACATTACGCTTTTGGCTGGTAAACTTAGTTCAGCAGCTTATGCCATAAGAAAGATAAGACAACTTACTGATATAGATACTGCCAGGACTGTATATTTTAGTTACTTTCATAGTATCTTATCATACGGCATTTTACTCTGGGGAACAGCAGCTGATATTGAAAGTATATTCATTTTACAAAAAAGAGCTGTGAGATCTATTTATCAATTGAGTAGCCGAACATCTTTTAGAGAAAAATTTAAAGAAATTGGCATTTTGACTGTTGCTTCTCAATTCATTTACAATTGCATACTCCTCGTTAAAAATAATATCAATTTGTATACCAAACACAGTAACGTGCACAATTTTAACACAAGGAATACAAACAAGCTTGCATTGCCACCCTACAGGTTACAGAAGGTTTACTGATCTTTTATGGGTCAAGGTATACATTTTTACAATAAAATTCCTGATGCTGTTCTTGAGTTACCCATAAATGAGTTCAAATGACACATTAAAAGTTGTTTAGTTAAGAAAGGCTATTATACTATTAAAGAATATTTGAATGACAAAACTGCATGGCTGTAACTGCAAAATTGTTTTGTATTTGTTTGCAGTGTCGTACAGATAAATTACCTTAACTCTAAGTAACTATTTTGCAGTTTGGTTTGAGTGGTTATGGGTAGTCATGCTCTCTTAAAAATCTCTTCGGCGGTGTCGTGTGAGGCGGGTCGTTGCGTTCCCTAAAATATGGTTGAGCGAAGCGATGGCTGGTTCATGCGTCATGCTCGTGAACGGGTGCTGTCAGCGGAGTTGAGTCTGCTCTTGCTTCATTGGATACCATTAATCGTTGTACTAAACTTTAATCGTTATTTTTTTTTGCCTAAACAGCAGGACACGGCATTTCTAAACTTTGTTAAACCAGTTTTTTTATATAGTCATAGTTTTAGTTTAGTCATAATTTTTATATTATTTGTAATGGAAAGTGACTTTATGAGTTACCATATATTGAAGTCATTTTTCAATTTGACGACTCTGTATACAATACAGGGAGAAAAAAACAGCCCTTGCTGAGTTTCTTGCCGGTTCTTCTCAGTACAAGGTCTCCCCCCGTAGATTTGCGAACCGATGGCGTAGCTTTTCGACATTCACAAGTGCTTGTAACAGCCTAGACTGAATAAACGATATTGAATTTTGATTTTTTTGAATTTATTTATTCGGTGTTTTTGAAAAATTCTTAGGATTTATGCGAAAATTCGATTTATCAAATCATCCTACCTCACATTATAAATAGATAAGCTGTAACATTCATCTCATTCAACATTCGTCTCCCACACCCTTACTGGTTAACTGGTAGAGGATGCCTATGGCATTATGTACGCCATTTACTGTATTTTGGTAAAGAAGAATAAAATAAATTAATAAATAAATGCAGTTCCTTATCCTCAATTATATAATGCCCAAACTCTATAGAGACATAGTAATCTTTGACATTTTCCAGAAAATTCCAATGCGAGAAAATTTCCCATCTTAAAAATCTTTTTTGGATTTTCTGTATTCTCCTGACAGAGATAAAATGTAGCTATAAATATTTACAGAATAAAATTACATCTGAGAATGTCGTTTTATTAAACAACTAGCGGCCCGCCCTCGCTTCGCTTCGGTGTAGAGCTGAAGTGTAGACTACAGTTTTTGTTCTCAGGCTTGTATCATACACAATGACATTCACCTATGACTCTTCTTATACCTGCATGCAAAGTCTCAGCCCGATCGGTTTAAAATTGACAAAGCTTCATACAAACTTTCAAAATCCTTTCTCAGCGGATGCTACGTCATAACATCTACCTGCATGCCAAATTTCAGCCCGATCCGTCAAGTGGTTTGGCTGTGCGTTGATGGGTCACTATGTCAGTCAGTCAGTCACCTTTGAGTTTTATGTATATAGATAAGGTAAGTACCCATTACAATAAAAACTACGAATCTTTGTGAGTAGCAGAGCTGGCAGCATTTAGAGAATAAAAAATAAAAAAGTCTCTATTTTATTTTCACAAGCAATGTTTGTCTATATCGTTTCTCTACCAGATAAATAGTTTGTTGGTAAAGCAATTACACCACTTCACTGTAGGAGTATCTTTACCTTCTTTTCTATACCGTAAGGTTAGTAGATAACATTCACTAATATATTTATTTAATAAGTGTTCTTACTATCGTCAAACTAAGCATAAATTGCAATATGTGTACCAGATATACATACTTAAATAAGTAACAAACATAAATGAGAGTAAGGAAAATGCAAGTGCTCATCTCACAAATATTTAGACCGTTTGTTCACCGCGGCCGTCACCGGCACGTCAACGAGAACGAGATGACGCCGCCGAAGTACCGACGCATATATTTACTATCTGCTTGTCCACCGCAAGCCCATCACATCATCTTGATCTCATATAGAGGCACAACCACGAATTTTGATAGCTCCATAATCGTATCGTCAACATCAAATTTTGTATGAAAGCTAGTTTGTTCTTACGGTCGATAACACTGCTTAGTTTTCATGGAATCTTTAACCTTGTAATACGATAACGTAGCTGTTAAAAATCCTGCTTGGGTCTCAAAAATAATGACATTCTCGGTGACGGCCGTAGTAGTGTCGAATCGAAGGACGTTAGATTCTTCTTCGTTTTGGAATCTAACTTAATGTAACTTTAGCGAATAAAATAAATAAATAAATGATCAGCAGTTGCAAATTTATTTCTATATAACTATATATTCTATAAATTTATTTATGTTCGTAGCTCTATAACGATTTTAAATTATTTATTAATTCATTCAACCACGCCCCACATATACGATACAAACCTCATATTTTCATGTCAATAACACAGAAGTAATTACATGTTTATGAAAACTAAATGTACGTATTACTTTGTGATTACATGGTGTGCGGTAGCTTGCCACTATAAACATTGCCACTATTAACATGTAATTATGTTAAAGAATATTTACCATATAAAATTTTACTAAAATAAAAAGTACTCGCTCAGGATATTATTATTTTTTATCAATTAAATAAGTTATTATCTAAGTGTGAAGAATGCACACAGGTACTAAGGATTTTTATAACATCTATTCGAAAAAGAGCTAGTTTGTTCTCTGTTTACAGGGATCAAAATAGCGTTTTGAAGCACTAGGGACTAAGTGATTTGAATTAGGAATGTGGATATTGTCTTAGATTAAAACAAAAAGGGTAGATACGGTACGCTCATACTAGCATCAAATAAAATATGATCCTACATAACTACATAAGCAACTCTCGCCACGCACACGTCTGTATATAAACATCAATCGAGCGAGCGAGACAGAACTAAACGCTTCAACGCAGCGTATTGTTGTCCTTTTCTTGCTTACAAAATGGTGATTACGTAAATAATATTCACGACAAACCGTGATTTTTGAGAAAAAAAAAATTACACAGTTTTACGAGTGAAAAGCGTTGCCGGGGCATTTGATTTTGAACTAAGTATTTTTGTTCTTTAATAATGCATCGATCATATTTATCTTTATAAAACAGAATATACGCAATATTGTTATATTGAGTGTACATGCAGCGTGTTTGAATGTCAAATTGTGACTAAAGCGAATTATGGTCGTGGACCATAATTTAAGAGGATCACTTTTGAACCGCGAATGCCGTATCTTCCTTTTTTGATTTAATCTAAGGATATTGTTAGTAAAAGTTCCAATCACCAAACAGATCAATCATGAACATCTTATGAATAAGTCACAGGCTGTATAAAAACCGCGCGCTTGTCAATTTAAAAAAAGTTTGTGGAAAAAATAAAAAAACGCGTGAAAAATATTCCGCCTTCTTCGCTCACAAATATTGTTTACTCAAATTCGGATTTTATTTTGTATTTAAAAAAAATCTGTGTCTTACTTAGGCTGTGAGAATTAAAGTTTAACATCTCAGGATTTGGATATATTGTACTTTCAGGGCCCAAGAGTAAAAACTTCAAAGTTTTGTTGGTTGCAACTTCGCATTTTTTTGTTGAAAAGGTTTCTGTTAACACATATTACACACTCATGCACATATAGATTTGGAAAAAAAAAAACTGTTTTTTATAATAAATACCTAGGTAACACCATTTTGAAATTTTACATTGTAATATTTTTTTAAGCATGTTACTGCTCTAAAAAAATAAAAATTATAAGTATAATTGCTATTTCTTCTTTCAAATGTTTAATACTTGAAAAAGTATTCATTTGACATTGTGGGTTACCTACAATGCGAAGAGATGGCGCTGCCTTGCAGCTTAAGGCTAGGAAAATTTCGATGCGGCAAATAGGGCCGTGGTAGCATAATGGTCAGTGCATTCGCCCGGATTGCGAAGGGTGCGGGTTCGAGTCCCGTCCGCTGCCTGGTCCGCGTGGATTTTTTTCTAGTAAACTTTTCTTTAAATTACTATTTATTACAGTAAATTTTCAAAACTCCTTCCTCCAACCTGAATACACAACTGACAATGTCTTAAAAAGTTATGTTTTAATTGTCTAAAGCTACTTGAATGTTCTTGCTTTATTTTTCTATCCGCTTCTGTAAGTTTTTGTTTCAATTCTTGTTCGCTGTTGCTTTCTGTCGCGTACACTAGCTTTTTGTAAAATACCCAAATAAAAAAATCGACGGGGTTGAGGTCTGGCGAACGCGCAGGCCATTCGATCAGCGCTGCACGCCCGAGCCATCTTTCGGGATATGTGGTGTTCAAATGCTCTCTTACTCATGCCGCATAGTGACAGGGCGCACCATCTTTTTGGAAAATCATCCTTTGTCAGGTCTGGAGATTGACATCTACTAACAATCCAATGAGATTTTTAGTAAAAAATTTAAGTAACTGTTTCCATCCAACCTGGCCGGCAATTCAAAGGGGCCAATTAATTCTCCATTTAGGACCTCAGACCAAAGGTTGACACTAAAGCGTGTTTGAAGATTGGCGCCCTTGCCATTTATGGGTTTTCTATGGCTCAGTTATGGTAATTATGCATATTTAATACTCCAATCTTTTCAAATCGAGACTCATCGGTCCACAGTATTTTGTTAAAAAAATCAGGATCTTCTTCAGATCGTTGCAACATTTTTTGACAAAAAGCCACTCTTCTCGGGTAAACAGATTCTTGGAGCTGCTGGACGTGCTGAATGTGGTACGCATGGTCCCCTTCTGCAAACAAAAATCATTGTTAAGTACCCCACATAGGTTAATTGGTTACAACGAGGCCTGTAGAAAATGGGTTTGGGAGAAAGAGACAATCACGTAGATCACAGATAGGCTTACAACTATCTAGACGATGCTTATATAAAAACAAACAAAATCATACCTTCCTTTTTTACAACACAATCAAAAGCTTATGTAAGTACCAACTTTTAATGGCTCACCACTCACCTACCTTAAGAATTCTTAAAACCGTAGTCCGTGGAATCCCGGTTCGCCTAGGTATTTTCCTCGAACTTGTAGACGAGTCTAAATTATTGTAAAATTACACACGCTAAAGTATTTTACAGGAGTTTTAATTAAATTTAATTTGAAATTACATTTTCTAGTTTAATTTACCATAACAAAGATAAAAAGTAGATAAAATAATTTTAAATGCTTTAATCGTGTTTCAATGATTTTTAGCCTATCCGCCTTCGAAGGCCAATAACAACATAAATAGGCTGATTAAGTATTATTGTTTTTTTATGCTTTTTGGTAGTTTAGAAGCATGCGGAGTTTTTAAACTTAACTAGAAGCTATGCAAATTCCTTTTTGTATTTTTAAATTGAAGTTGAATGTTTGAGTAAATCCTACTAAAAACTGAAGTTCCAACTCTCAAGCCTTTTTTGAGTAATTTTAAGTAATTTCAGGAAGCTGAGTTATTGTTTTTGTTAAAACAACATTTAAGACAATTATGTCACAAAAAATACTGGAAAATACTAACTACGAAAAAAGATATGAATTTTTGAAACCTCGCTGGCAGAAATCAATAAAAATACACAAAAAAATATAACTCGAAAACTAAGAAAAATCGCGGAACATAAGTACATGGGGTATTTTCGGATACGAGGTGCGAGGAATCTAAAATAATTTTGTTGACGTCACTAGTTGGACCACCCCTTTTTTTTTTTTAACGCAGGTGAAAAATAAAATCTTTTTACAGACGACGGCGCCTCTAAGGGGCACACCGCCGAACGGACCTCACACCTGGCTCCCGCAAGTCTTACAAACCCCCACAATGGATGCCCACTTAAAATTTAAGTAATTTCAGGAAGCTGAGTTATTGTTTTTGTTAAAACAACATTTAAGACAATTATGTCACAAAAAATACTGCAAAATACTAACTACGAAAAAAGATATGAATTTTTGAAACCTCGCTGGCAGAAATCAATAAAAATACACAAAAAAATATAACTCGAAAACTAAGAAAAATCGCGGAACATAAGTACATGGGGTATTTTCGGATACGAGGTGCGAGGAATCTAAAAAAATTTTGTTGACGTCACTAGTTGGACCACTCTTTTTTTTTTTTTAACGCAGGTGAAAAAATATTTTTACAGACGACGGCGCCTCTAATGGGCACACCGCCGAACGGACCTCACACCTGGCTCCCGCAAGTCTTACAAACCCCCACAGTGGATGCCCACCTGGGACTCCGCAACTCTTACGGGCGCTTTACGGTATAATATCCGCTAAAAAAGTCCTGCGAATACCTCTACACTGCTTAGTGCGGAGCCGCAGGGTCCCCGTTAGGGATTCTACCACGGCTCCGCTCCCAGCAGCTTCCCGGCCTCGCCGGGGCTCCACGGCAGGGGTCTCCGTGCGCAGGTAGGCCTGCGCGTGGGGGCTGGATACGCGGCCTACCCACCATACCGCCCCTCATCCGCTGCGGAAAGCTAACGCTCTCCACCATCCTCCCCTTGTAGACAGAACCACATAAGGAGGGCCGCCGTTCCTGGGAGGGAGGACCGGGAGGGGAAGAGTAGTTCTTCCCGTCCCTCTCCCCCCTCCCGGTCGCCCACGTCCCCGTCTTCTCTTAGGAGAGGCGGGCGACAGCATTCGTGGGGTAGTTGGACCAACCTGTATATTAAGCACAAAAATCTTTTAATTGGGTACTATTAATAGCTTTTAACTGTGTATGATAGTAATAGTGACTTGTAAATGAATAGTGAATTTATTTTCATTTACCTATTTTCCTTTTTATTATAAGGTTGTTTATGGAACTTGAATACAGAACCAACTTTGTCAACCCGGAAACACCATTGTCTTAGTCTGCCCTGCTCCTGGAGTGTTTTCCAGAACCCGGAGTTCTAGAGGACCCCTAGATTGTTTTTCAGAGTGCGGATATCTGGCGCTGCGGGATTAGCAACCCCTCCGCCCTTACGTAACAAAGGCTCACAGGCATTCGCGACCCGCAGCGGCTGACGCTACCACCTCGGAGACGGCGAGGTGCTGCGCAAGGGGCTGCTAATCCCGCAGCGCCGGACATGATACAGAAGCGAAGTATAATAAAAGTAATTTGGTAGAAGACTTTATGGATCCATATATTACCCCATTATCTTTTATTTCCAATAACTGAAAACTGTTAAACGCCAAAGAAATAGGAAAGAAATAGGATATTTTCCAAATTTTTGAAAACTGCTTATATTTAAAGATTGGGACAAACGGTTTAACACACAAAAATAAATTAATTAATGTCTTTTTTTCTCCATAAACCAATTAAAGTTTAGGGTTTTTTTAATGGTTTTGTATTTACCGCCAAAACGCTAGGTTCGATAAGGTCTACTTTATGATGACGACGACATTATTTAATTTATTTTTATTTTTCTGTTAAATTGTTGGTCCCAATCTTTAAATATAAGCAGTGTTCAAAATTTTGGAAAATACCCTGTTGTCGATGGCTGTATGGTAACATAGGCATAAAAATTAAAAATAAGGCTGTATGTACTTTGTTTCTTTTGCCTTATCAAAAAAAAGGAATATAAAAGGCAATCTTATTTGTCAAAATGGTGTTATTTATTTATAGTAATCATTAACAATATTTTATTTGCACGTTCCTAAAACAAATTAATATAAAACTATAACTACCACAGTAAAATTCCACCTCTTACCCTAGTTAAACAACATCAACAGTGCATGGGTGATCGGTATCATAAATATCTATCTTTGAGTTGTTACAGATATTCAACGAGTCTGCAGTCTACATACTGCACAAGATCAACAAAACCGTACAGACACAGCATATACCTTGTCTCCTTTAACCCAGATATTGGCAGAATCGTCACCTAATGAGACGCAGCCATAATCATCAATCAATATTTTATTTTTCTCAAAAACTGTCAGTTTTCTGGTGTGGAGACTTTGCAAAGAGACTTCTATATCAGAGACCTTTACACCAAAAAAATAGTGAAGTGTCAATTCCTGGGCCCTGAAAGTATAGTTTTACCCAGTCAGGACACGCTTTTGCCTTCAAAATAGTTCTTTGCTCCCTTATTAAAAATACTACATCTACCTACTTAGTTATATCGTCAATAAAATAGTGCTTTAAACAACAGCTTATGTTCTCTTGTATTGCTGTGAAGTCAGTCATCTTCTTACGTTCACTTTTATAAATATTCTCTATTTTTTTATCAATTACTAGAGTTCTTCAAAAATGCGTAAAACGAATACGAACTCCGGAGTATCTGAAAATATAAAACATACTTTAAGCCTAATTTTCAATAACATAATTCAAGTTATATTTACATAATAATATTAGGTCAATGAATACCATAACTAAGTGTGTGTTTGTTTGTAACCTGCAATGTTTCAGAGCTTGGTAAATGCGATTTTCGAGCGAGCTTTTTTATTTATTAGGATAAATGGGTATGATAGAAACTTACCGATACATATGTGCTATTAGATAGCGGTATTATCGTTCCTGCCATAGGTTCGATGGGCTGTTTTATTCTCTCCATGAATATTATAAGGGTTTTTCTTTGGCGTACTGGTATTTCTAACCAATCCACAACATACGCAGAATCTGTCAGTCTGCGACTCTGATAACATGGTAATGCTTTTATTATTTAATATAGCAACTAAAACCAAACCACAAACTTTGACAGCTCCGTAATCGTACCACATCGTCAAAGTTTCCATGAAAACTAAGCAGCGCAGCACCCCTATAGAACGTAAGAATAAACTAGCTCCTCTATGCATTTGACGATACGATTACGGATAAAGTATTCCTTCTAGATCAGAACAATAATCATAATCATTTATTCAGTTTAGGCTGTTACAAGCACTCATGAATGTCTAGAAGCTACGCCATCGGTTCGTAAATAGACGGCGGGAGACCTTGTATTGACAAGAACCGGCAAGAAACTCAGCAAGGGCGGTTTTTTTCTCTCTGTTTTTATATTTACAGAGTCGTCAAGTTGAAAAAATACTACAGAGATGATTCATGAACTCACCATTCATTACATAATGTGAAATTATACATTAAACAAACAATATTTGTCTAACTCTAAATTAAAATAAGCATAAAAATAACCCTAAATAAAAAAATCTCTTTGTCTAGTCTAGACTCTAGTCCCTAAACAATATAATATGTATCTTTAATTCAAGTTTGTACCAAATGAAGCAAGTTTGTTTCGGAGTTCGTTAGATTTTACTATTGTATAAAACGTTAATATATTATTATCATGGCATAATGTTAAATACGATTTACTAATGAAGAAATACTTACTTCGTAATTTATTTCATTTCCGTAGTAGCAATAGACGTACAATTGTATTGAAACACAGATTATGTAAGATATCATAGATGCGTACTCTATTGAAGCCGGGTTCATCTGTAAAAAGAACGTAGAATAATTTTTGTAAGTAAAATATTTCCATAACTGTGTCAAGGAAAATGGAATTTATTATTCAATAAACTAGTCGGTGTTTTTTCGGGTCAACCTTATAGTATTAAATATAACCAGGCCTCAAAGTTTCTATAAGAACAAAGTTAGTGATTTAACACTAAATTCAATTTAGCCGCGCGCCGCTCCAAGATGGAGAATTACATTTTCTTTTTAATCCCCTACTATGGGTTTCTAATAAAAAGACAAGAAGTGTAGAAAAATAATTGTGACATCATTTAAATCCAACTTAGGTATCGCTCCGATAAACAGCATATACTTGAAATTAATGAATAAATAAAAAACATGTCCAGCGTAAGTAAACTAAAACTAACTGGCCAAGTGCCAGTTGTAACTTTGTAGGAAGAGCTTACTATTCATTCAATATTAATAAAAATTTGAACTTTAACTGTTATTTAAGTCAAAAAATATCGATAAAATGACTTTTCTCGTATGTACCTAAGTTTTTCTTGATTTTTTATAAGAAAATATTTTTTAATAAATCTCTAATCTTGTTTTAGCGAGAAAAGCAATAATATTATTTTCGTTATATCGAGTAGCGTATTCTTCCCCAAAGCAGTTTTAAAAGTTTAATCCATTCCAAAATTTATTAAAGCCGAATTTTGAGTGTAGTATTAAGGTTGTATAGGCTTCGTAGCAGACATATCAACTGGGAAAGGGGTCTTCACCGTATCAACTCAAGCCGGACTTGCAGAACTATTAGTGTATTATAGATTATAGTAATTAGCAGGATTGCTACCATATGGGGTGCTACGCCAGAAACCTCCCCGTGTGGCTGGTGCATATCCTGTCCTGTGGCTTAGGCCTAGGGAACGGAAATGTGCTGGTCCGGTGCACTCTGGGCAACTACGTATGAGGCATCCGCAAGGATACCTCATGCGTAGGCTGATAGCTGGCAATCTCGTAACCCCGTACGTGGTGCGGGGCCGAGGGCCGCCATCCTTCGGGATGGGGGCTGCGAGGAAGAAAACCTCTCTAAAAATCACCCTGGGTGGGGGGCATTGAGTGGCCCCGGTGTCGGAGGGCAGTGCGCTGCCCGGAGGAGCTCGTAACCCCGTACGCAGTTCGGGGCCGAGGGCTGCTGCCTTCTTCGGAGGGTGGGGACTGCGAGGAAGAAAATCTCTACAAAAATTACCTTGGTGAGTCTCGGCTGGCGTCCCGGGGAGCCTGGGTAGCGGTAGTTGAGACTGTTGAAGGGGTGGTAACGCCTATTTTGGTGAGGGTGGTTGTGGCGCGAACTCCGCGCCACCTCCGGCCGACCCGTAACCCCGCACGCGGTGCGGGATCGGGGGCTGCCACCCTTCGGGGTGGGGGTCCAAAGGAGAAAACCTTTTCAAAAATCAAATTTTGATGAAGCCAGGTAGGGTTCCCTCGCCCGGAAGAGGGAAAAATCTATGAGAATGTCGTCCAAGGTTATATGTTTGTCATGCGCTCCCGTTGACGCCGGGCGCTCTGGGGTAGCTGGGCCCCAGAGTGAGAAGTTTGTTACTAGCGGCTTATGCGCTCCGGCTGGCCACCGGCGCTGCGGGATTACCGGGTCCCGCAGTGGTAAGTTGATTACCGAGGCGTTGGAAGGAGTTAAGACAGGCGTCCTGCGCCTGAGAGGCGGTGGAGACAAGGAGAATGGGGTGGGCTTAACACCAACGCCCCCCAAAGTGAACACTGCACACAGGGGAAGGGGTAAGCGTAAAGCTTCCCCAGTTCCCTCTTCGGAGTCCGAGCCTGTGTGCGAGGTTGAGTTGGAGGAATACGATGACCTCACGACGGAGGAAATCAGGGACTTGATCACCCAGCGCGTGGAATATATTGGTAAATGATCAAAAGGAGATTCCCGAGCGATAAGTGCCCGAAGAGTACCCTACAGGCGGCCAACGAAGTACTGGTGTTCTCGGAGGTGGCCCTGCGGAGGACGGAGGCGGCGGGAAGGTTAACCAAGCTTGAGGAAGAAAACCGCCGACTCCAACAGGAGATTGAGAGCATGAGGGCAGAGGTAGCGGCCATGCAAAAGGAGATGGGCGGAGGAGAGGGTGCGCCCTGCACCACCTCCAACCACGCAGCTGATGCCGACGGAGGCCGTCGAGGAGCTGAAACGCTCCCTTATGTTATCCATAGGGGAGATGGTCAGCACTCGGTTGGCTTCCATGGAAGAGAGACTTCCGCCGCCGAAGAAACTCAGGCCACCGTTGACGGCGGACCGGCATGGAGCGGAGGTAAAGGAAAGGGAGATGACCACAGCAGAAGGGTCCTGGACTGCTGTGGTCAAGAGGAAGAAAAAAAAGGGTGCGGCCCCGGGAGTGGCCCCGGTTTTTGGTGGTGTTGTGTTTCTGTCGGTGAGTAAGGTTCCAGAGCTCTACGGAGTAAGGGATTGGATCAGGGTAATATTTTTTGTATCGCATCTATAGGCTATGGTGGCCGTTTACCATCAGCCACCCTTTTAACATAGAATTATTTCTGTGGAGTCCGCCGTTGAGAGCTTGTGTAATGAAATGAAGCTGTATATTCATATTTTTAGTTTTCACTGAAGCAGACTTACGTTAACCATTTTGTATGCAGATGTACACAGAATCCAACCGCTCACCAAAAACTGGTAAAATACGGCACCGCTGAATATATCTAGTATTTCGCCAGCAGTTCTATAAATTATACACAATATCACTTTATTAGTATAATGCAGGCACTTGGCTCTTCGTGTTTGCAATTTTTAAACTTGATATCAGTCTGTCATTTTCATTCCATATAAAGCATGATGAGGATATACTGTTGTCGTTATTTTAAATACAATTTTGAAAGATAGTTCCACTTTCCCATCTTTGCAAGTCTCAGGGTAACCCCTATTCATTTCATGTGGCCGTGAGCTGGTACTGAGTTTTATTGATAACTAGCTGTGCCCCGTGGTGTAACCCACGGTTTATTAGATATATTTTCCCGCAGTAAAACGTAGTCTATGTGTTAATCCAGGGTGTTAACCAACTCCATACCAAATTTTATTAAAATCGCTCCAGCCGTTTAGACGTGAAGAAGTAACAAACATAAACACTCACAAACTTTCGCCTTTATAATATTAATGTCATAATAATTGAAAACTAAATGCCATACTCAGAGGCGTTAATTAAATTTTATATTTGTCAAATTGATTTGAAAAGTAATGTCTTATTTTTTCGCTCAAAAAATGACAGCATTTACTTTAATGAAAGTAAAAATTAATTGAAAGGAATACGTTATTAAAAGCACAAGGGCGATGCCCAATTCTGCGAAAGGTTTTTATATCGAATCGAAACAAATATATTTCCCATTTATAAACATGCTGTGCAAATATTGCCTCAAAGGCCGTGTTAGACTATACAATTTTCAGCACGCTATTATCTGACGAGGTGTAGTTTAATGCTTGTGTGTTTCTGTGTCTACCACAAATAGTGCGCTGGCTATAAGCAAGAAAGAAGCTTTATTGACGACCTCCGTCGTGTGAGTAGTTGGTTAGTATATGAGGCTGAGAAGTCTTGGGTTCTGATTCCGATAGCGGTAAATTTTAGTATGACTAATACAAGCATTGCTGTTTATAATATATTTCTATAAACTACTAGCTGACCCAGCGAACTTCTTACTGCCATAAAAATAGGGGCTGGTGCTAGAAGGGTGAGAATTTAGGATTGTATGGATTTTTTAAATGCCACATTATAAAAAAATACATAGTCCACAACATAAATGTTAGTGATGGACAACCTTTATCAATTAGGGGTAATAAATAGTAGCCGATTCTCAAAACCTACTGAATATGCATATAAATTTCATAAAAATCGGTCAAGCCATTTCGGAGGAGTATCGATAATTTTATAAATAAGATATCATCATCAGCATCAGCCATGTCTCACCGGGCGGGCCAAGTGCGTATTGGCGGGTGCTAACGACTACAGATGCAGCCGGGACCAACGGCTTAACGTGCCTTCCGAACCGACCACTGCGAAAGTTGCTTAACTTCAACGATCGCAGCCGAACGCGCTTACCACCCGCACCGTCGAGTATATAAGATGTACTTATCTTTATATGCATCATTTTAATATCTATAATATCCGTTACTCTGGTGTTCCATAACACAAGCCTTACAGTGCTTTCTTTAGGGCTAGGCTTATTGAAGAAATCAATGAATATATATTTATTAAAAAAATAATTGACTTCAATGAGATATGAAAGGGTCACACCTTTCATATCGCACATTGAAAATGATGTGTGTCTAAAAGGGATTTAATGCAATGAAATTATTTAATCACCAACAGGCAATCAAGTATAAAATCATTGTTTCACAATAAGTACTTACTTTACGATTTCCTTGTGGTGCAACAACATTTCACGAAATTTTCTTTCAAGTATATCACCATAATTGCCATGTGTTTCTGTCGCTTCCTCTTTGGACTTTTGGACAACGTTCTCCAAATCATATCTGCAAGTAAAACATAGAATTTGCCAAATAAGAGATGACCGCTCGAAGTGCTTGTTTTTTTTTTATAGCGAGGTAAGCAAATGACATCACCCCACTTGTTGTTAAATGGTGATAAAGTCCCAACGCGAAGATAGCTGGTATAGCAGTTATAAACTGCTACACTAACCATCCTCACCTTGCTGGCCAGCAAAAATGCTTCTTCACGACTCTCTTAAAGGACCCCAGATTGTAGGAAGGAGGGAACACATACGCGGGCAAAGAATTCCACTTACGAATAGTACGACAAAGAAATGAGTCAACAAATTTCTTTGTTCGTGTAGGAATAGTGGCCACAGTAAGGTGGCAATTTAGGCCAGCAAACGTGGTCCTCTGAAGAAAAGGTGATGGAGGGATAAGGGAGAATAACTCCTCAGAACACTTGCCGTGGTATAGTCGGTAGAATGCGCTTAATGATGCCACATCGCGGCGTAATTGATTTTTTTTGCTATCGTGTTCCACAGGCCGTACTGTTATATTCTCGATTGAATTCACTCACACACAACATTTAGTAGAGTGAGTTATTGAACAAAAAAATTATTTAAATACAGAGGGATGCAATACAACAAAAACCTTACTTCAGGTTAGCCGATATTAGGCGGTTGTTCCCATTCGTCATCACTGGCTTAGCTCCCACTGGGGACAAACGATAAAAAATAACATTTCTTGCCAGTGGTTAAAAACCTAAATTGTTATGGTGACGAAAAGGAAAAGGAAATATTACCGTGATTTTGATATAGTGTTAAAACATTCTTAGCCCATATTAATTTAAAATAATAAACCGTTGCATTAGAACACTAAATGTTTGTGTATTACATATAAATACTAGCTGACCCAGCTAACTTCGTACCACCATAAAAAAATAAGGGTTGGTGGTAGAAGGGTGAAAATTTAGCGTATTAGGTATTTTTGTTTAAAGTATCATAAAAAACTAAAATTGAAAAAAAAGATAGGGGTGGATTACCCTTAACATTTAGGGGGATGAAAAATAGATGTTGTCCGATTCTCAGACCTACCCAATATGCACACAAAATTTCATGAGAATCGGAAAAGCCGTTTCGGAGGAGTTTAACCACAAACACCGCGACACGAGAATTTTATATATTAGATACTAGTGGCCCACCCTCGCTTTGCTTCGGTGTAGACAATAGTTTTGGTTCTCAGGCTTGATTATACATAATATTGTCATTGTTTATATAAGGTTTACATAAGGTTGCCTGGAAGAGATGGCTTTTAGTGATAAGTGATATCTAATCATTTATTAGATTCCTCCTCCGCATCCTCCTGATATGATATATATTTGTATGTATATATCTAAATATATATATATATATATATTATTTATGTATTTATATAGATATTTATTTTATGGAGTATATACATATTATCTTGTTTCCATAGATATAAAAATATAATAAGTAATTTAATGAATTCTTTTTGCACTACCTTAAAATTTTTGCTAAAATTCTCCGGTTGACTGGTAGAGAATGCCTAATGGCATTAAGTCCGCCACTTGTACATACTTTTGTGCAATAAAGTATAAATAAATAAATAAATAAGGCCGCCCATTGTAATACTTGATTTAGATGGCTCTGTATTTATTGTAATGTTTTCTGAGGTGTACAATAAAGTGTTTTGTATTGTATTGTAATATTATATCAACCCACCGTGAAAAAATGTCTAACTAATAGTCAACATTTTGTATTAGGACCCTTATTTTTAGTGTGTATGCTGTTGGTCGCAGATGATCTTTACAGCGTCACCGGGCTTGGGGACGGCGAGATCTTAACGTGACCTCTAGACCAATCGAACCTGAGGGGGCGGCTCAACTAGAAGGCGTCAATATTAGGACCAATAGTACGGAATGAACCATTGCTTAGCTGATGAAAAAAAATCATGAGGTTGCCAAATCTACAAAGGTGCATGAGATAAACGCAAGAATTGATATAGCAGAATTGTCAGAGACAGATAAATCGAACTCGTTTAAGTGACTCCGTAGCCTGTTAGCGAAATCCATTGCTGAGAAACGGAAGATCCGCCAAAGTGCAAGTCTGACTCTTAAAACAAATAAAAAGTGACCCGGTGACGCTGTAAAGGTCGCAGATGACCTTTACAGCGTCACCGGGTTTGGAGAAGAGAAACGAGGAACGAGGGAAGAGATACTAAGGGGACCTCAAGCCGAAAATTTGGCAAGTGCCTCTAGAGGTATTCCAGGCGGATGGCGTCTCCCCACGGGGGGAGGGTCCTCTCCGTCTGGAGCCTCTAGACCACTCGAACCTGAGGGGGTCGGCTCAACTAGAGGGCGTCTCTGAGACTCGTACCTCGGCCCTAGTTAGCCGTCGTCGTGGGGGACGGGGAAAAACGCCCAGGTACGTACCTGTACCTGGTATAGCGTGTCATGTGTAGACCGGGTCTTCGCACTCTTTTCCTACGAGTGCGGTGTTTGCCTAATACTAGTGTGCACGTTTGCTAGCTGTGTAGTATTGGTGTTTCTGGCCTGTGTGGGAGGAATCGGAGGCGAGGTGCTCGTTTTCAAAACCTTATATACCTTACCTGAGTATAGTAACCTGCGTTCTGCACTGTTCCAATAAGATCGAAATGAAGACATCCGCTGCAGTATTGCAGTAAGCCAGCCAAGATGTCTGGATCCAAACGTAGAGCGCTGCAGTGTAGTACCTGATCGATTATATAATTTTTAACGTTTATTGATAAGTAATTCAAATTCATATCTTTACTAATATTCTAGAGCTGAAGAGTTTGTTTGTTTGATAGTTTTCTTTAATACGTTAACCTCAGGAAGTACTGATTCAAATTTAAAACTTTTTTTGTGGCAGTTTGCCCATTTTTCGAGAAAGGTTATAGGGTTATATGCTATATTATATTACGCTATGACCAGTAGGAGTGGAACATCGATGAAAAATGTTGCGAAAATGGGATAAAATTATTCCATTTGAGAGCTTCAGTTGCGTGCGTTGCGTAAATGTATTAAGTTTAAGAATGACGTTGTATAGTTGTAAAACTTGCAGTCATAAAGTATTTGCACAAAGAAAGGATTATTTCGGTAAATCTAAAAAACACCCAGGTTTTTATAAATATCCTTGTATTTATTGGTTATCTAGAATGTTGTCCTGTTTAATAACATTTTTATTTGTAATTATGTCATTACTTACTTCGTGTTGGGATCAAAGGGCAGGCGAATAGGTAAGTCTATCAACTTTCCTTGCATATGCAGAACCGTTGGATGCAAAACCCATAGAAAACAAGTGAACAGTGACATGTAGTTATATATGCGAAACACCAATAAAGTCTTTCGTATGGTGTCCTGCAAAAACACCCGATGCCCCGGTTCGCCTTTATTAAAAATTGGACCTGATGACAATCAGAAACATTATCCATTATAGCTTTTTTTGTCCTTGCAAGACACATAAAAGATAGATAGGTGCAACTGAACTTGAACTTAGATCTAGTTAAGTTAAAACTTCGTAGCTTGTTAATGCGGAATAGCTGATTTTAGAAGTTCCGAGTTCAAAAAAAACTGAATCGTTGTTAAAAAGTAATAATTTTTAAGTAAATAGTATATTTTTCTACTGCTCGTACTAACCAGAGTTAGTAAGTTAGTTTTTTTAATCACTTGCTCAGTCTATATATAGACTTGCAGTATCAGCTAGAGATGGTAAAAAGTCAAGCGTTATAGATTTTTTTCTCAAAATCATATTTATCCCTGTTTTCAAAACTAGTGGTAACACTTGGAAATATGCTAAATGACAGACAGCTATGATGTGAACCTTACTCAGGAAAAAGTTTCCTAATAAAGCATAAGTTATGCGAACCGTGAAACTATTCCATTCATACTCCGCAAATAAACGCTGAGGATATACCTTTCATAACCTCAAGGATTCCCTCTATATGATCCGCTTTTTTCCATAAAATAACAGCCTTATAGATACAGTCGGTGTTTGTTAGGAATAAGAACATGGTTCCCATTACTTTGTCGACGTTGCTTCTAGCCTGTATATTTTCAAGGACTTTATTAAAGATTTCATGGTAATATTATTATAAAATATTTTCATTTATAATAATATTATCATGCAGATTATAACTACAGCGCCATTGCTACACATTTTAGGCAATTACAACAAACATTTGCAAAAATAAAAAAGTAATTTAACTTTATGTTTTATTTTTTAAGCGTTTTATTGCTAGAATTTTATTTGTCAACAAAGTTTACTTTTATTATAATTATTCAGCTCGTCTTTCATATCAAACCAAGCTAGATATTATTTCACGCATACTATATATAAAGAACAAGTCAGTCATAATAATTGATGACCACTCGCCAAGGTTCTTATAAATCTTCTATTATTTTTCCTCAACATTCATCATTCGCTGCATAAATGCATGCTTATGACGTGGTCCTTATTTAGAATGCTACAAAAATGAATAAGCTTAACTCAAAAACTAAATAATTTAAAATTAAAACTCTATAATCTCTAGCATACCCCCCAGATGTTATCATGATTCTGAACATTTTCTGCCATTGAATAAAAGAAAAAAACTTTATAATCTCTCCGGGTCTTAGGACCCGACTGCAGCGGCACCTACGCGGTCCAGCTGTTTTAAACCATTTGGCCTCGCATCTATACAAAATAATTTATTATCATCTGCCCAATCGTTAAGGGGAAGGCGTCAGTTGTTTTATACAAGTGGGGAAAAGCTATAACGTATTATCTGTTCATAAATATAAAAGGCAACCGTTACTGACTAACTGATCTATCAACGTACAGCTCCAACCACTGAACGGAGTGGGCTGCTTGGCACACATAGAGCTATTATGATGGAGGCATAGCAAAGAAAGGATTTTCCAAAAGTCATCCCCTAAACGGGTTCAAAGTTTGTATGGAGCACCAAGATCGCTATGTTAATTAATTCCTTATTTAGTTAATTCTTTAACTAAATAACGAATTTTCCACCCAAACGATGTCGCGGGCACACACTAGTATAGAATAACAAGATAATGAATCAGTATGTCCTGTGAAATAATTACAAATTATTGATTAAGAGAATGAATAATACTATGAGTTACTTGGTGAAATAAATTAAAAACACTTAATTACGTCATAAATCTTTAGGAGTTGTTGAATTGTATACAAGATAAAAAATGACAGAACTAATCTTCTGTAAATCCTATGGAGAATTTTAACACTTTTTGAAGAACTTTGGTCTAATCTATAAAATCCACAAACACGTAGATATCTCACAAGTCTTGCTAAACTTAAATAAGATAATTTTTCCATTTTGGAAAAGTTCTTTTTTATTAGATTTTACAAGTACAGTAAAAGTGACTGTTTTCATAGAAATACTGCAGTATATTATCATTTCCGAACATTAAATATTATGTTGGAACATCAATTGATGTCAACACTTCTATCGCCCCCAATTATTAGAAGTTTAGAAATTCATTAGACATACCTAAATACCAAGTTAATTGTATGTCTCATTATATGAGGTGAAACATGGGAAATTATGTTTGTGTAATATTTGTACCACGCCTTTGATTTGATTGTCACTTTAAATATTAGTTACGTAAATGGTAGAAAATGGAATGATGTGTAATCATACTAATATTATAAACTAGTTTCTGTCAGTCACTTCGCCTGTTTTTACTTAAAAAACATCAAGAATATTTTGAAATTGTTATTTATGATATAAGTGGGGTAAGTTGGTTATTTCAAATGAGTAGACGAATGTAGGCCCGAGACGAGACGAAATCGAGGGCAGTCACGAGTCTGTAAATACCATTTCCGCACGAATGTAATACATCGTTTTTCAACACATTTGCGAGAAAACAGTATTCCTACCTAATTCAAGTGATGAACCAAACTTTTTCTGATACGAAAATGGAACGTATTTCCAAATGGCGTCACGTGTGGATGGTAAGAATTAGAACTACATCTTTCGTCCATTTTTCATTTTAGTTTCAAAGGAATATATTGAAAGCCCTTTCAAGGGGTCTAATCAAAATTTAAAAACCCATAAAGGATACGCGCGGCACCATGTGTGGAACAATGCGGTAAAATGTTTTACCACACGCTCCATTGGATGGCCCGTCACTTTTAACTTTCGAACAATGTACATACAACCTTCGTAAATGTATTTTTTTGAGGAAATTTGTTGAAAATGTGTTTCACGGGAACCTTGAGAACAGTCAGATATTTGTGTTTTCAGAAAATAAAAGTTGATGTGGTTTTATGAAAACACGATGATGCAAGTGGACCTTTTCAAACCGTTTTTTGTATTTTTGTTTTACTATTTTCCATAAATATTCCATTTATGTTATTACCTACTGCCCTCTGTTTCCATATAGCTATATTCGTATAATATACATAAGCTTGTCTACCAGCTTATTCATTTGCTGCTGATGGTTTGTTTCATTCACCAGCTTATAGATGGCGTTACTAGTTTTATAAACCTTTACAGAACTAGTGACTGCAACTAACTAGGTAGCTATGCTGGTAAGCGGCACCAGCTTGACCTGTAGCGGGACCTTCTGTGATTGCCGGGTTAGGGATGTTCCGGGGCACCATCACCAGGTGGTAGGAAACCAGGCGTAACGAGCGGCGATTCATAACTAGACATGCGCAAAATACTTCACTGAAGTGTAAAGAGTGATATAGTTAAATTGGACTAGATAAAGTATATTACTCATCAAGTTCATTTAGTTCATCTAGTTCACATGGCTTAGTACTTCAGTAGTCCATTTGTGTCACCTTGTCATTATGTTTAATCGCGTCATTTTATTCGCATAGTTCAGTATGTTTCGTACTTCTAATTTTTAGGTATGAGTCTGTCAATTTGTTTTTATATCTATGATATGTACTGCCTTTGTAGATATGTGTGATAAATAACATAATGCAGGCGTATCTTGAAGTCATTATTAAACAATAATTGAAATATTTGTTATATTTTTCAGTTATTTACAAAGGACAATTTTCTGCGTCCATACATTGTTAACCTAAGAACCAACAATCATGAAATATTATTGTCTATATTCGAAATTGCAAGTAAATGACTGTAAAAACAAAGATTATTGACGGACACTTCTGAGAACTTAAATTATCAGGAAAACTAAATGGTTTTTGTGGTTATGTTTAATATTAAATGAAACAGGTCTACCTATGAACTTAGTATGAACTCAATAATTCATATTTATTCGGTGCGATTTTAAAGAATTACTATTACGAAAAAAATGATTAGGTAGGAATCATGAATAAAATAAAAACTGTAGTTTTGCTTCTTATTTTTTGACTATTACCCTTAGGGTACGGCCAGAGTGCACTCAGATTCAGACTCAGAAAACAAGCGCGAGAAATATACAGTGTCGTTTAAGCAGGTTGCTTGCTGCCACTATGGTCACCCTGCTTTAACTACATTGTTTATCCTACATCTGCACCTTTGTCACTGTACATTGTACATGCATATATTGCATTTTTTCTTCCGTTCTAGAAAAAAAAGTATTTTATACTGTAACTTGTAATATAATGCACCTTCATGCACCTTGACTATAGAAGACAATAACTAAAAAAGTGATGTACAGTACCTCAATTTTTTTTGGATCCTACGATCCATTTTTCTATCATTTCACTGAAAATATTAGGAAAATTATTCGATTTCGGGTATCAAAATCGCATTTTAATCTTACTTAATAATTGGAAAATGGGAATGATAATAGAAAATCTATGTTAGTTTATTGTTAAGTATTTTCGAATAAAAACTGACGAGTTTAGAGAACTCAAAAATTATGTGTTGATTCTATATGTTTATTTTTATCATTTTATGATCTGAAATGGAATACTCAATTTTGTCCACGTCCTTTTAAAGTTCATCACTCTTAATTACAAACATTACTCAATTCGTGTTTAATAATTTTTTTGATATAGGTATAAATGAGAAAATTGAGGGCAGATACCTTTTTTAGATGATTTTACTGTGGCTTATAAAAAGTGGAAAATAAAAGAAGCCTAGCCGAGAAAGCAATTCATTGGCTGGGAATCGAACTTGGGCCGCCCAGGTAGCAGGGGAACTTTCTACCACCGATGCTTGATAATAAGTTCAGATTTTTTTCACAACAATGAAAATGTTATGCGACATGATAAGATGAACGAAAATGTTTGTGGCGATGTAATGAAAGCTTTAATTTAAAAAACAACATACTTTATGTAGCGGCCT